TGTTCGGGCAGGTAACCCTGCTAGGGTAATTCCGATGCTGTACCCCAGAATATCCCCGAAGTAAGTCATGAACTGCAACCACCCGAACGCCATGCCGCGATTGGTCGGAGACGCCAGGTCAGCGATGAGTGATTGGATCGGGGGGAAAACCAGAGCGAGGCCGATGCCGTTGATCCCACGTAACCATGCCACCTGGCTGTATGACGTGGCGATGCCCACTGCCAGCGTGGCAAGGCCCCAGATGAGCGCGCCCGTGGCGATGATGTGGACGCGGGGCAGGTAGAGGGAGAGCCATGGCGCGAGCGGGCAGAGCAGCGCCTGCATGAGTGCGCGGACGAGGGTGAGTGCGCCCAGGTCCCTGGGGGATGCATTAAATGCGCGCCCCACCTGTGCAGGGGGGAGGGGGAAATTTTTGGAGGGGAGAAAGGCGGGGGAAGAGCAGTGGAGGGCAGAGCAATGCCTGCATGAGCGCGCGCACTAGGGTGAGTGCGCCCAGGTCCCTGGGAGATGCGTGGAAGGCGCGGCCCACCTGTGAAGGAGGGAGGGGAGAAAGGCAGGAAGAAGGAAGAGCAGTGGAGGGCAGAGCAGCGCTTGCAAGATCGCACGCCACCTGCCACAGAGGGAGTGGGGCGACGTGAGAGGAGATTCGATTTGAGGCATCTCAGGACCGGCTTGCTTTCACAGCGCGAGCGGGCAAAGCAGCGCCTGCATGAGCGCGCGGACTAGAGTTAGCGCGCCCAGGTCCCTGAGGGAGGTATGGAAGAGGTGACTTTTGAGTCGCCTCAAAAGTGTGCGGACTAGGGTTAGCGCGCCGAGGCCCCCGAGGGAGGTATGGAAGGCGCGCCGCACCTATGAGAGTCTACGAACAGCGACGCGTTCCGGGAAGGAGTTGCTAGTCGCGCGCCGTATTCGTTGTGCGACTAGCAACTCGTTACCAGGAGCGCAACGCTCTATGAGAGGACGTTCAAAGAGAGGAAGTCACGTCACGCCATCTACCTCGTTGTACACGGCCGGCAGCAGCGACTCGTCGGCCCTCTCGACGATCGCGGCGACGTTCACGAGGACGAGCGTGCGCAGTCGCACGTCGCACCACCATCGCAAGCTCATGCTCTCGCGCTCCTTCTGTCGACCGAAGCACTTTTTCACCTGCGATTACTCTCCCGAACAATGACTCTCAGAGGATCTAAGCGGCCCGCTCCTTCGACAGTGGACATGACATCAGCTGCCGTGAACGATTAATCCCCTCTACTGTCAAAGAAGGGCCCGCGCGAGAACGCAGCGCGGCGCGTGACAGAGTTAAGATTGAGTGGCCGAACCGCTCTAAATCTAGTACCGCGGATCCGCAGGGATGTGCGAAGTTCGCAGGAAATGTTTGGGCAGGTGCTTTTCCTCCCTCTCATTAGGGCGCGTGTCTTTTGGTGTAGAGGTTCAAAATTAAAGTGGACCTTTTGGTGGTAATAGTCTTCGTTAATTTCGTTGAAAGCTGTTTGCGATAATCGTGTTTCCAAGTTTAAAGATTGATGAAACAGAGGGACAATGAACTGGGGTCGAATTTTCACGTGCCCGTTTAGCCAAACGTGTGTTCTTCTTTTCATGCACAGTGAATCTGCGACATTCGCGATAGTAACGAACGACATCGTACCTCGTTACTTCATCCGGATTAGTTTACAAGTACGTTTTCAAATCGGGTAACCTACGAAACTGGGGCGCGACTCGGGTTTTACTGTATAAAGTCGAACTTCTGAAGTCGAACTTTGATGGCCATGTGATTTTTGGGAGAAAAAATCGCGACTCGGAACCCAAAACTTGAGATACTCGAGTACAGGTCGACCTAGGTTCAAACGTAAAAAATCGAATAGAAAACATGGACTTTGCAATAAAATCCAAAAGACACGCGCCCTTACTCACTACGTGGAGTCTCGACACAGGTTCAAACGCAACATATTCAACTTTTATTGCACACTACAGCGTTCATAGTAATACCTATAATTTATTATCACGTGAATCTAGACAATGGAAGGGAAGGAAATCTTCACCAACCCTCCGTGTTTCCCGCCGTTCCCCTCCCCATCTGCTGCAGCGCAAACTCGTTAGCGCGGATGCTTTCTTGCACCAATCGCAGCAGCTCCTTCGAGCTCCGCCCGCTTAGTATGTCCTGCGAGTCGCACGCCGTCGCGGCAGGCAAAGGCACCACTGGCGACGCCTGCGACGCCGGCGAAGTCGCAGAAGGTCCACCTGACCATCTTCGCGACGTCGCCTCGCTGCTCACCTCTGCTGGGCTACCTCCGAATTCCGAAACCCACCGCTTACGGCCGTCGTTCACGGAATTCAGCTCGTTTAATTGCCGCAACATAAGCGCGCGTGTCTCGGGGGGGACAGACTTTGTCCGTGGGTGTACTACGTCAGCGCAACCATTGGCCGCGATTGGCGCCGCCATTGCGGCCTTCGTGAACTCCGCAAGCATTTGCGAAAACGCCGTCGTGTCGGGAATCGACGGTGCGGATTGAAGCTTCGGCTGAATTAACGGCACAGCGACCGCGACTCCCGGGCTCGAGCCGCGCACGACCCGCTCGATCTCCTCAGGCTGGTTCGGGTCAATTGGCGCGCAGACGACGCTCGCCGTCACCTGTGATGACGTGTCCTGTCGCGAATTCCGCAGATTTTTTTCGACCGCTTGTCGGTCAGCATACTCTGCGAATAAACCTGAGCGTATAGCTTCCAAGCTTGTCGAAAATGCCGCGGCGCTCGAGCCTTGCCTTTCAACTGTAGCACCAGCGGCGATGCCTCTACTGCTTGATACCCCCACCATGTTTTCCGTTGTCCCTCCACCGTTGGACCTTTCTCCGCCATCCGATACAGCCGGGTCGCATTCGCCTCTTTCTCCGTTGCTTCGCGCGGCGCACTCGGGCCAGATTACATCAAGCAGGCGGTTCGTCTCCTCGTCGAAGTCGCCCAATTCCCCCAAATCGGCCAAGTCGGCCAAATCGCTCGCCTCGTTCCGCGACTGAAAGCCGTCTGACGGCGCGATGCCACGAAGCACAGAGGCATTTCCAAGAGCAGTTTTAGTAGGACCACCAGCCACACGCGAGCTCTGACTCGGGCTAGGGCTGGCCGTCCCGGCCCCCCGTATCTTACTGAAAACGGGTACGCAAATACCGCGGACGGTAGCTTCGTTGCGCGCGACTGGGTTGGAGTTTGTTAGCTCATCCAATGCCGTCATGACGTCAGCGGGCATCCGAAGACGGTCAGCATGCAAAAACGCGTCGCGATGGTCGCCGGGAAAAGTTCCTACTCGCTGGCGCTTCGCTTCTGAATTATCCATGTCGAATCGCTGGCGCTTCGACTGGAAGGACGGGGTGTTTGGGAATGGGAAGAAGCGCGCCGCGAGAGGCACGACGTCGACGGAATTCGACGCGCAGGATATGGCGTTGTGAGCGGGTAATCCTGATCCCTGTGTGACGTTTGAGACGGCGGGAAATGACGAGACGTTCCAGAGCGGCATTGCGCCTACGAATGGCGCGAAATGTGTTGGCTGCTGTAATCGGCGATCGAAGTCGAAAGCTCAAGCCGTCATCGAGGAGATCGCGTTATGACTGAAGGCTAGCAAGACATGTACGAGAGAGGACTGGTCTGGTCACTGAAGGTTGGAGGGCGCCATTTGTAGACGTACAAAACAAGCATCAAGGCGACTGTGAGTGAGGCTTGCGGTTGCGGGTGAGGCTCATGGCAGCTGTGTGGGAAAGTTGACGGGTGGGGTGGAATGGAGCGAAGTTGGGAGGGAGTTTTCGCAGCAAAGCGACAGCTGCACATGGCGAGATTCGCAGTTGGCGAAATCCCCGAACATCGGCATGTGACAGCCCCAATTCTTTTCCCCCGATGTGATGCGAAACTCGCTCTGTATAAAATCAGAAATTCGCTTGCAGTGTTTGAAAGCAATCCCGCATCGTCATGCTTTTGTCTCGATGCGGGCTGCTTCCTCGGGCACTTCGCTAGCCCCAGCGGCCCGATGACGCCTGCACACGAGTGTGTGACTTCAACGAGCGTGATCCACTGCCCTGCCGGGTCTCGTTCTGAAGGGAAGGCGAAAGCAGCTGTCCAATTGTCCAACGAGCCGTGTACACAAACGATGATGAAAGCAACTGTCCAATTGTCCAAAGGTCAAAGAGATTTCTGGCTCGAAGCAGTATGAATTCTGGCAAGCAAGTACAGTACACGTGTCCGCGGCCAAACCTGCATGCAGTTTCGAACTGTACACGTGTTTGGAGATCTCCATCGTTCTGTTGGCGAGCATTTGGAGATGAAACGGGACAGAGGGTAGGGTCATGTACAACTGGACGAGATGGAACGCCACAGCTGGGCGGGACGGAACGGGACATTTGGTTTGGGCCCGGAACTGGATTCGCTATGGGGAACTCCAACAATGTCATTTGATTGGAGAATTGAGTGTCACTTGACATACCCGTTCGCTGCCGGGCAGCCTGCGGGTCTCTCCTCCACATGGTGTGCGGATCATCTTCGAAGCACATGGATGCAAGCGTTCAGGTGTGAACAGTTGCACGCGGTGGAGCACATGGGATGGGAGACGACAACTTGACATGTGAGAGGGTTGGTGAAATTATCCGCTACAAATGGAATCGTTCAACTTGTATTACGTCCATGGCTTGACTATTGACAGAAACAATCCTTATGGAGAACACATAACATTTAGCTCCTTGGTTGCTCATTGCTACTATAACGTAGTAATTGTTTTCACTGATATCAAGAGTAAACATCAATCATAAAAAATAACATACAACAGTTTGAGAGATCAGTAAATGATGACATAAAAAGGAAGTTCTTTGCTTGGGGCCCAAATGACATTACGTTCTTGTTATAATAGGTGCCTCTTAGTGATGAATCATAAAACGGGGCACGGTCTCGCCATTTTCCCCTAGCCCGCTATCCTACGTTGTAGCGTGTTGGACTAAGGAGCAAAGCAGAACCATCAGAGCATCAGACACATGGCGGGACCGCATCCGCGGGCCAGTAACTCCCCGTTCGCGACACGCCAGCGCTCCTTCCTGCTCCACTCAACCACTCACACTCGCGTTGCAATTGTCGCCGCGCTGCTAGTCGTCTCTCTCTTTCTCGTCCTCCCGCAATCCACGCGCGAGCTTCTATTCCACACCGGCGCCCCACCAGAGTCCCTCTCCCCGTCAGCGTTTCCGGAGCTCGAGACTACCAATGCCACGTCAGGCAAGAATGTCCACGTGGACGCTGACGTGGAACACGTCACCCGGTCGCCTCTGGTCCCACTGACGGTGCTTGCTGACCTGGATGATGACGGCGCAGTGTGCTTAGACGGCTCGCCGCCAGCCATCCATCTCTCCCCCGGATGGGGTCACGGGGCGAACAACTGGCTGATTTACCTGGAGGTCGGTCCCACAGAGTCAACGCAGGTCAACGCAGGTCAACTCAGGTAGATGTATGCCAGTGCTGATCAAACGCGGTCAACGCAGGTCAATGTAGGTCAATGCCAGTCCACGTCGTTCAACGCATGTACAAGCCAGTCTGTGCGGGGCCATTGCTAACCTTGGTGCACTTTCTGCAACCCAAGCACTCGCTATTGTCACATGCGTGTGTTGTGGCAGGGCGGGGGGTGGTGCAACAGCGAGGAGGAGTGCGCGCATCGTGCCGCCACCCATCTGGGTTCGTCTAAGCGCATGGGGGGACTCATGGCCTTTGGGGGTATCCTCTCCCATGACCCCACGGTCAACCCCGGTGCGTTGAATGTAGACCCTGGTGAAGCATGCTTCTACGCCCTGCAGTACTTTTCGGGCACGGGTATTTTCACCTTGGCACGTTTGTGCCCTTCATCCTTTCCCTTTCCGCCATTCCTCCCTACCCCCTGCACTCTCCAACAGACTTCTACAACTGGAACCTGGTCCTCTTTCGTTATTGCTCCCCTCCATTCCCCCTCTGCAATTGCTCCTGTGCCATTCCCTCTCCCCCTGCACGCTCCAACAGACTTTTACAATTGGAACCTCGTCCTCTTTCGTTATTGTGACGGTGCTTCTTACCTGGGTGACACAAACGAGCCAGTCCAGACAAACAATGGTCTTGTCTTTTTCCGGGGGAGGCGCATCTTCGACGCGGTAACCCGGTACCTCGTCTCCCACCACAGCATGGGGGCGGCATCTTTTGTCTTATTATCCGGCTGCTCTGCTGGCGGGTTAGCTGCGTTGCAGCACTGTGATAGGCTGGCGGCGATTCTCCAGCAATCCGTCAGCCAATCAGGATCGAGCAAGGGAGCAGGAGCTGAGGAAGGGGAAGGGGGTGGAGAGAAGGAGGGAGAGGGGGGAGTGAGGGAGGGAGGGGACGAGAGAGTGATGGAGGGGAGAGGGGCAGTGGGGGAAGGCCCGGTGGTGAAGTGCATAAGTGATGCGGGGTTCTTTCTGGACTCGGAGGATGTTGGAGGAGTGAGGCGCATGCGAGAGCGGTTCAGAGAGGTTGTTCAAACTCAGGTGAGCTAGGATGGGCTGGCACGACCTAGCATGAGCTGGCATAGGTTGAGTTGAGACGATGGAAAATTTCTCTCGCCGTGGATTGAACTGAATTAACTTCTGTGAGGCGACTCAGAACTGTATTAGCTGGATTCCTCCCCTCCCCTCCAGCCCCATTACCTCGCGACCACATCCCATGGTCCTCCCCTCTCCTTCCCTTCATGCAAGGCGTTTTTTCTGCCAACTGAAGCGTATCCTCCCCTTCCTACTTCTCTGCCTTCCCCCCTCTCTCCCCCTCCACCCCAATCATCTCCCTCCCCCGCCCGCCATATTACCCCTTCTCCCCTCCCCCATGGGGCCATCAGAACGTGTCGCTGAATGAACGATGCACAGCAGCCGTGGCACCACACGACCACTATCTGGTCTGCTCCTCTCCATTTCCGCTGCCCCTCTCCATTCCTGCTGCTCCTCTCCATTTCCGCTGCTCCTCTCCATTCCTGCTGCCCCTCTCCATTCCCGCTGCCCCTCTCCACTCCTGCTGCCGCTGCTGCACACTTTATTATTGGCCTTTTCTTGCCGTAGCCTGTTCCTGCCGTTCTCTCCACATTGATTGCTTGCGGCTGAGAGTGGCTGAGAGTGGCTGAGGGTGGCTGAGAGTGGCTGAGAGTGGTCGGGACGATCCAGCAGACATTGCCCATCGTTTTCTGAGGGGCTAACCAAAAGCCGTCTCAAAATTTGAGGCACCTCAAAGGGATCCAGCAGACATGGCCCATCGTTTTCTGATTCATATCCTGCAATCCATAGCCCGTAACCTGTGCATGTGCACGAACCATCACAATTCATTATTCATGAACCATGACCGTATGGTGCATGATCCATCACAAGCTATTTCTTCCCCTTCCCACCATTCACCATTCACCATTCACCATGAGAAACCATCCACCATCCCCACATCCCCCATGCCCCATGCCCCACCCATGCCCCATGGCCCATACCCCATACCCCATGCCCCATACCCCATACCCCATGCCCCATACCCCATGCCCCATGGCCCATACCCCATACCCCATGCCCCATACCCCATGCCCCATGCCCCATACCCCATGCCCCATGGCCCATACCCCATACCCCATGGCCCATACCCCATACCCCATGCCCCATACCCCATGCCCCATGCCCCATACCCCATGCCCCATGCCCCATACCCCATACCCCATGCCCCATTCCCCATACCCCATACCCCATGCCCCATGCCCCATGCCCCATGCCCCATGCCCCATGCCCCATGCCCCATGCCCCATGCCCCATGCCCCATGCCCCATGCCCCATGCCCCATACCCCATGGCCCATACCCCATACCCCATGCCCCATGCCCCATGCCCCATGCCCCATGCCCCATGCCCCATGCCCCATGCCCCATGCCCCATGCCCCATGCCCCATACCCCATACCCCATGCCCCATGCCCCATACCCCATACCCCATGGCCCATACCCCATACCCCATGCCCCATGCCCCATGCCCCATGCCCCATGCCCCATGCCCCATGCCCCATGCCCCATGCCCCATGCCCCATGCCCCATACCCCATGCCCCATGCCCCATACCCCATACCCCATGGCCCATACCCCATACCCCATGCCCCATACCCCATGCCCCATGCCCCATACCCCATGCCCCATGCCCCATACCCCATACCCCATACCCCATGCCCCATGCCCCATACCCCATACCCCATGGCCCATACCCCATACCCCATGCCCCATACCCCATACCCCATGGCCCATACCCCATACCCCATGCCCCATGCCCCATGCCCCATGCCCCATGCCCCATGCCCCATGCCCCATGCCCCATGCCCCATGCCCCCAGTGCTTCTTCCCGGAGCATCTCCTTCCCTTTCTCCGCCGGCCCTTCTTCATCCTCAACCCCCTCTACGACTCCTGGCAGGTACTTTCTCAGGTTGGGTGACTCCTGGCAGGTACTTTCTCAGGTTGGGTGACTCCTGGCAGGTACTTTCTCAGGTTGGGTGACTCCTGGCAGGTACTTTCTCAGGTTGGGTGACTCCTGGCAGGTACTTTCTCAGGTTGGGTGACTCCTGGCAGGTACTTTCTCAGGTTGGGTGACTCCTGGCAGGTACTTTCTCAGGTTGGGTGACTCCTGGCAGGTACTTTCTCAGGTTGGGTGACTCCTGGCAGGTACTTTCTCAGGTTGGGTGACTCCTGGCAGGTACTTTCTCAGGTTGGGTGACTCCTGGCAGGTACTTTCTCAGGTTGGGTGACTCCTGGCAGGTACTTTCTCAGGTTGGGTGACTCCTGGCAGGTACTTTCTCAGGTTGGGTGACTCCTGGCAGGTACTTTCTCAGGTTGGGTGACTCCTGGCAGGTACTTTCTCAGGTTGGGTGACTCCTGGCAGGTACTTTCTCAGGTTGGGTGACTCCTGGCAGGTACTTTCTCAGGTTGGGTGACTCCTGGCAGGTACTTTCTCAGGTTGGGTGACTCCTGGCAGGTACTTTCTCAGGTTGGGTGACTCCTGGCAGGTACTTTCTCAGGTTGGGTGACTCCTGGCAGGTACTTTCTCAGGTTGGGTGACTCCTGGCAGGTACTTTCTCAGGTTGGGTAACTCCTGGCAGCTTATTCTCAGGTAATGCTAATGATTCTAAATGGTGGATCTAATTTCCCACGCGTTCTGAGCAAATTAACCAGCCAAATCAACCGGACTATTTCTTCCCCTCCTGCATATCTCCCTCCGACCCTCCCCCTTTTTTCCCCTTCCTCTCCCGCCCTTCTTTCCCCCAACAAACAGGTGTCCTTCTCGTTCGCCCAGCACCAGGCTTTCCCCTCCCCAGACTGGCATCGCTGCCGTACTGACCTGCGCTCCTCCCTCCCCCCCACAAGCCCCACTTCCCCCAACCTTACGTTTCTCCTCCCCTCCCCTCCTCCCCCCCAACAAACAGGTGTCCTTCTCGTTCGCCCAGCACCAGGCGTTTCCCCCCCCCCCCACAAATCCCACCTACCCCAACCCTTCCCCTCTGCCCCCCTTCCTTCCCTCCACAAACAGGTGTCCTTCTCCTTCGCCCAGCACCAGGCCTTTCCTTCCCTGGACTGGCACCGCTGCCGTACTGACCTGCGCTCCTGCCCTCCCCACCTGCTGCAGCTCCTCCACGGTACAGTGCGGTGATGAGCGGTGACATGAGATGATGTGCGTTGATGTGTGGTGTTCCTGCTTTAGCGTTTCTCATCTCTCAACCCACCCCAGTACTAAACCCCTGCTCGTTCCCCTTCACCGTGACCTCTCCTTTTCAACTTGTTTCCCAGGGCTTGTGAGAGCTTTCCACAAGCGTGGAGAAACATGTTGGAAAGGAGAGGTCACGGCGAGGTCATAACTTTGCCATCTGCCCGCTGCATACCTTTGCACCTGGGACGTCCCAGAGCTCTCACCCTCGTTTCTCCACACCTTTGAGACGTCCCAGAGCTCGTACCTTCACCAAAGCCACTAGCCATCTGCCCGCTGCATAACTTTCCGTGATCGACCATCCGCAGATGGCTATTACCATGGATCACTCTTGGCCTACTACCTCTGTCCTGAAACCCCTGTCTTCATGCCCCATCTGATTCGACTTTTGAGTCGACTCAAAAGTCATCGACCATGGATCACTCTTGGCCTATTACCTCTCTCATTAAACCCCTGTCTTCACGCCCCATCTGATTCCTCCCCTTCATGCCACCCCTAAGCCTCGCTTTCTCTCCATTCCCCATCCCGCCCCACCGCACTGCACCGCAGGGTACCACCATCAAATGGTTTCCAAGCTCTCCCCCTTTCTCCCAGGCACCATCTCCCTTCACCCTTCACCCCAGCGCCGTCGCCGCCTTTCCCTGGTGGAAGGAGGAGGTGTTGGTGGTGGGGTGGGGCCGATGGAGGGGGATGGTGATGGTGAGGATAAGGAGGAGGGTGATGGGGAGAGTGGGAGTGAGGAGGAGACTGGAGGTGCGGATTCGAGAGGGATTGAGGAGGAGAGGGGGAGTGAACAGAAGGGGAGTGAGGAGGAGAGGGAGAGTGAAGAGAAGGGGAGTGAAGAGGAGAGGGAGAGTGAAGAGAAAAGGAGTGAGGAGGAGAGGGAGAGTGAAGAGAAGGAAAGTGAGGAGAGGGAGAGTGAAGAGAACAGGGGGAGTGAGGAGAAGGAAGAGAATGAGGAGGACAAGAAAGGTGGGGGTGGTGCACACGTAGAGGGGAATAAGGAGGAGGAGGAAGAAGAGGAAGAGCCAGAGGAGAAGCAAAGTGCAGACGAGGCTGCTGTCAAGGGACAGAAAGAGGGGCTGGATGTTGGTGTGATGGGCAGCGGTGTTGAGGCTTCCTCTTCTCAGGTCTCCGCCTCTGCTTCACGCAATGGAGCACTGCTGTTGTCCTGCCATCTGCACTGCATGGTGAGTGGCACTGCATGGTGAGTGGCACTGCATGGTGAGTGGTACTGGCACGGCCCTTGAATCTCTTCTCGCTCCCTCTTCATCTCTCCCTTTCCCTCACTTCCTTGCTCACTCACTCCCTCCCCTGTCTTCCCTTGCACCAGGCACTGGCATCACAAGCGTGGCACGGATCTGGAGCTCCTCATGTTGCGGGCAAGGTGAGTCGGTTTATTGTATAAAGTTGCCATAATTCTGTGTTTCTGATTGTGCAGCTGCTTGGTGAATGTCTTGTTACAGTATGTGGAAGCAGATGAATGTACTTTATATCTCATTCGTACATCGAGATTCGTTCATTGCCCTTTGTTTCACTCCATTGTTTGCGCATTGCATTTCATGTGTTCAGACAATGGCAGAAGCTATTGGTGATTGGTATTTCGACCGGAAAGCAACAAAGCTAGTTGACTGCCCTTTCCCTTGCAACCCAACCTGTCTGTTAGGTGCTTGACATGCTAGGCATCTATATACAAATCTTCTTGTTCTTGTCTCTTATGTGGGCATTGTTATGTCGTAGGTAACAATATATAACCGTAAGTTTCCCAAATCAACACTGTACCCTCACACGGCAATTGCATCGCACCCCAACAGTTGCAACCTGACATGACCAACCTTCCCGTTCGAACCCGAGAAAAAAACTCCAACCTTTCTGATCCTCCTGGCAAGACAGGTCGGATCCCTGGAATAGCATAACTGTACACCAGTAGAAACCTGCGCTTCCCGAACTGCAACAGCAACCAGATTTGCGCACAGGTTTCTGCTGTTCCAGGTCGGATTTTAGGCATTTTCACAAACCCTTGGATCAGACCTGGAAATTGCGACTCGCGGGTGCGAGAGCGCAGGTTCCCTTGCTGCGACTCGCAACAACCTACGGCTCTGTAATTTCTCTGCGACTCGCAACAATTCCAACACAATGTTGCACTGTAGCCGTAGCTTCCGACAAGCGGGCAATCCTGCCGCACACACAAGGCAATTGGTGGTGGTGCAATAAAAGGGTGGTAAACTTCTGACATAGAACATCGAAGTTCCACAGAGTAAAGTGCATGATATTGTGGAGTCAACTACATCACTAGAGTTGTGACAGGTTATCAACAATTATCAACACTAGACATACAACCTACCTTATGGCGCGTCTACTCTTCGTCGTATCGTTCGCTGTCCTGCTGGCGGTGGCGTCCGCGGGACAAACCGTCGTGACGGGACCCAACAACCCGGCTGTCAACCTCGACCAAGCTAAGGGCGACAATGGCGTGGCGACGGTGGTCCCCCCTGGCATCGAGAAGGCGGCGGCTGCGGGCAACCTGGACAAGTTCGAGGGGACGACGATCGTGAGCCCGAGCACGGACAGCATGCTGATGGTGGACGTGAAGCAGGCCGGATGGAACAAGATGAAGTGCCACAAGGACCTGGGCAAACCCGGGGACGGCGCGTGCACGCCCGCCAACTGCAGCAAGGGCGGCATCCCCGCCAAGTGGAAGACGTCGAACCTGCTCAAGAACAAGCTGGGCGTGGAGGTGTACGTGAAGGGCAACCCGCTGACGCTCAAGAAGGCGTCCCCGCAGACGTGCTGCAACACGTGCGCGGGGTTCGCTAGCTGCACGTACTGGCAGTACATTCCCGATATTACCATCGACGGCAAGAAGACGGACGGCGCGTGCTACCTGGTGCACGACAACATCGACTACTCGTGCGGCGAGCTGACGGCGCAGTACGCGACGGACTCGAAGCCCATCGCGCTGCAGGTGCGCACGGGCGGCGAGTGCAACCCCGCGGCGAACGTGGTGAACGACCCGCATCTGGTGGGCGCGTACGGGACGCACTTCGACTTCAACGGGCGCCCCGACAAGGCGTTCTGCCTGCTGACGGACCGCGACCTGCACGTGAACATGCTGCTGCGCGGGTACTACTCGGACGACACGGAGAACGCGGCGCTCGTCGTCGACGGCAAGGCCGTGCACACGTGGATCAAGGAGCTGGGCATCATCTGGTTCGCCAACGGCGCCGACCACAAGGTTCGCCTCGCGGCGCGCTCGGGCAAGCAGCAGGAGCGCGGTGATGGATTCATGAAGACGATCGAGATCGACGGCGAGGAGATCCCGAGGATGAGCGTGGGCGACGAGGTGACCACCGAGGGCGGTCTGACTGTGCGGTTCGCGGCTCTGGAGAAGGAGGGCCCGTATGACGTGGACTACTACACGCTCTCCATCGACGGGCTCGTGGCGCTCGACCTGCGCCTGCGCGTCGCCAACCCCAAGCTGCAGACGCCCAGCGAGGCCGAGGCGCACATCAACGTGGGGATTGTCGAGCTGGAGCACACCGACGACGTGCACGGCGTGCTCGGGCAAACCTACCGCCCCGACCACGCTGCGCGCGCCGCCGACTTCCAGCGGCTGATCGCGAACCTGCACCGGCCGGTGTCGGCTGACAGCGCGGAGGGCGCTGGGTTCCTCGACGGCACCCCCCGGCTGTACGAGTCGAGCTCCGTGCTGTCCGTGGACTGCGCGCAAACCGAGTATCACCGCGCCAAGCAGCTCAGCCCCGTCGAGGAGTTCCCTAGGGAGCCCCTCAACTAAACACTCTCCGTCGCGTATGGTGGGCCTAATTAGTGGGCTCCTTACCTGGGCTGATATACATGATGAGCCCCTCTATTAGATGCGCGCACCGTCTCAATTCGGTGGGCTGTGATTTGGTGGGCTGATTTTTATACATTTTTTAATTGTACATTATTTTATACTTCGTGTAAGATGCCTTCAAGAAAGTTCTCCCCCCATTGCTCAATTCCATGAGCTATAGCCGCCCATTTTCACACGATGTAGCCTCTCGTGAGACTTTGTTCATAAACCATCCTGACTGGAAACTGTGTCACAAGAAATCCTGCTGGTGGGACTATCTTTCCATTAGAAACATGACGAATGTACATGCTTGTATATCCCTGGTGACTAGAATCTTTCAGCAACACTGAGTCTTCCTGCATAGTGGGCATCCACAGCTAGCGGCCACCATAATAATAAAGCCATGACATGGCATGCCAGGGCTTTTTAGGTGGCTGTTATGCCATGGCACTCCAATTATCCACATAATCCTAGCCGCAGCTGCACTGGCTCTAGTTGCATAGGCTTATTTCCTCCAAGAGCCTACAACTACGGAGGTTCATCTCCACCACCAGCCTACACCGACGGACGGCTGTTAGCTGGCTGCAGCAGCCTTGGCTGCTGCTTTCGCTCCTGCTTTGGCTCCCTTTGCTGCTCCTTTGCCTGCTGCAGGTTTCGGTGCTGCCTGAGCGCGATAGATGGGCTGAGTGTTGCGCTGCAGCCACTCCAGGGGAGCTCCTGAGAGCAGAGGGGAGACCTGTGGTGCGTGGAGGAAAGGGAAGAAAGAGGTGGGGATGTGTTGCAAGTTGCAACCACGGCATTAGAGGGGAGCCTCTGACAGCAGAGGTCGATGCATGCTGTTTGTTTGAACGAGGTGGCATAAGCTGGTGTGAGCTGGTGTGAGGTGATGTGAGTTCACTCGCTCATAGTGCCCAACACTCACAGTGTCCCACACGCGCTGGTGATAGTCGTTGATCCACTTGACCTCTGCCTCGCTCAGCAGCTCCACACTCACTAGCTTCGTCTGCGGCCGTAGGAGGGGCAGGGATGAAATGGGAGGGATGAAAGGCGCATGATAATTGAGACGTAAGGGACGATAATTAAAAGAAGAAGAATAAGAAGAAGAAAAAGCTAAACTCCAAATTACAGAACCAGATAGGGGAGGGGAAGGACATGAGAGGGAGGGGAAGAGAGGTACCTGGATTGGAAAGAGCGTGAGGCACTCGAAGCCCAGATACGTTGTGCCGCCAAATCGGAACTGCGTTTGCTGCTCCCTCACCACCAGAAGATTCTGGGAAGGCGTCAAGACAGGGTGGGGCGGAAGGAAATCAAGAATTTGGCATGTGTGGTACGGTATAGAGGGAAGGTGGGGCAAGGGAGGAAAAAATCAGAGTGTGTGTGCATGCGTGATGCTCACCACCATTCCAGCCTGCCTGCCTGCCAGCCAGTACCACATACCCACATGCCTGCTCCTCACATGGACCCTCACCATCCCATGCCCTGACCCCCTCGCCCCCCTCACCTCAATCCTGATCCCGATCTGTTAGGACCACGCATGTAACTCCCTCACCCACCCCTCACATGGACCTTACCCATCCTACTCCCATCCCCCCACCCCACCCTAACATCCCATCCCACACCCCTTCAACCCCTCTTCCCTCTCACCTCAATGCGGATTCCGAACTGGTTATCATGGTAGAACCCCGGTTCGTTGCTCACAACCATGCCCGCCTGCAGAGGCGTGGCGTTGCCAAACCGCGGGCTGATGCTCTGCGGCCCCTCGTGCACGTTCAGAGCCGCCCCCACGCCGTGCCCCGTGCCGTGCCGATAGTCCAGCCCCATGCCCCACAGGGCCTTTCTCGCCAGAATATCGAGTGCGAACCCTGGCGTGCCCTGGGGGAACACTGCACAGTCTAGCGCTATATGACCCTGAGGGGGGGAGGACGGGGGGAGAAGAAGGGCAGGGGGGGAGTAGTCCTTGCTGCCCGTGCTGTCGCGGTAATTCAGCCCCTTGCCTGACAGCACTCCTTCCCACCTGACAGCACTCCTTCCCACCTGACAGCACTCCTTCCCACCTGACAGCACTCCTTCCCACCTGACAGCACTCCTCCTCCTCACCTGCAGCACGCGTGTGTAGCACTCCTTCTCACAGTCCGAAGGAGTTCCAAAGTGAACAGTGCGAGTGATGTCTGTTGTGCCCCTTGAGTCAGACTCAATTACACCCAATTCACCACCTGACAGCACTCCTTCTCACTTAACAACCTGCCTCTCACCTGCAGCACGCGTGTGTAGCACTCCTTCTCACAGTCCGAAGGAGTCCCAAAGTGAACAGTGCGAGTGATGTCTGTTGTGCCCCTTGAGTCAGACTCAATTACACCCAATTCACCACCTGACAGCACTCCTTCTCACTTAACAACCTGCCTCTCACCTGCAGCACGCGAGTATAGCACTCCTTCTCATAGTCCGAAGGCGTGCCAAAGTGAACAGTGCGAGTGATGTCTGTTGTGCCCCTTGAGTCAGACTCAATTACACCCAATTCACCACCTGACAGCACTCCTTCTCACTTAACAACCTGCCTCTCACCTGCAGCACGCGAGTATAGCACTCCTTCTCATAGTCCGAAGGCGTGCCAAAGTGAACAGTGCGAGTGATGTCTGTTGTGCCATCCACATACTGTGCACCGCTGTCCAGCAGAAGCATCCTGGAAGGATCCACCACGGCACAGCTGCCCTCCTCAGCTCGGTAGTGGATGATTGCTCCGTTCTTCCCCGAACCTGCACGCCAGGCTCGGAAAGATAAATGGAGAAGATCCCATAGGCTTGTCAGAGTGTCTGCGTTGCATGAAATGTTGGAAAACCAGCAGTGCTCTGAGCCTACCTGCACCGCTATGCACCTACCAGCACCGCTGTGCGCCCATTCTCTTAAAGCCCGCGGCAACTTCTGAGGCACCTGAAAACGCACCTCAGATCTGGATCCAGATCCAGCTGACACCCCGCCTCACCTGCGATGGTATCAAAGCTGGTATCCATAAACCCCTCCTGCTCTGCACGGAACGCCTCTAGCCTCTCCCCCAACTCCACCTCTGTCACCGCCCTCCCCTCCTCCACCACCGCCCTCTCTGCCCACTCCCAGAAATGCGCCATTGCCACCGCGTCCCTGGGGAAGCGGGTACAGTGGGAGGGATATAGAGGAGAGCGGAAGGAAACAACACGGAAATTACCTATTTGAGAATTGGCATTGGTCTCTAAGGGCCCAGCACCGCACCCTCTCCGCCCACCCACTCGCAAAAGCAGGCCATTCCTACGGCGTCGCTGGCAGAACGAGTGCAAGGAACAGGATACATCTCGAGAAGGCGTATTGAAAGAAGGGAAACTAGAATTGGCAACACCACCCGCTCTGCAGTTGCCAGTCTCCCAAAAGCATCGTCTCCATTGCCTGACTCGCCCACCTCCTAACACTCTCCCGTTCTTATGCCCGCATCCCAACCCAACTGCCATACACCCCAGCGCATTCTTCATCCCCTCAATCTCTGAATTATTCTTCAACGCTTTGGCCAGAGATATAGGGGTAGTGCGATTCAGCACTGCCAGGCCTTCCACTGCCACCTCTCCCTCCCCTCCTCCAACCCCTTCACGTTTTTCCAAGGCAAGTGAAAGTCCCACACTCACCTGATGTGGGCCTTCTTCATGCCCTCGATCTCCGATTCGTTCTTCAGCGCCTTGGCCAGAGAGATGGGGGTGGTGCGACTCAGCACTGCCGGCCCTTCCACTTCCTCCCCACCTCCCCCCCCTCGCTCCTCCCTCCCCTTCCCTCCCTTCCCCTCCTTGCTCTTCTTCTCCCCTTTCTCTCCCTTCTTCCCTTTCTTCCCCCCGAATCCCCCCTTTCCTGAGGCTCTCTGCTCGTAGAACTGAGCGCAGGCGGCTTCAACGGAGCAGAGCACTGCAGAGGAGGCTGAGGCAGGGTCCAGCCACAGGCGCGCCCCGTCCATTGCGGATCTGAGGGGAACAGGGAGAGAAGGGAGGAGAAGAAAGCGAATAGAGGGCAGTTTAGAGAAATTTCAGAGCGCACGCTGTTAGAAGAGACCACTGGACTGCAGGCAAGGCTGAGAAAAGGCAGAGCCATGGCAGATTTGTGGGCGCAGTCATGAATGCACGTACCTCTGGAGGAAAGGCACGAGGTCCCCGTAGGGCTTCACAGTCACGCCTGCTGCTGCCAGGTGCTCTGCCACTGCAGGCGCTGCCACCTTGCTGGGGTCCACGAAGAGATGCGCCGCCTCCGTCTCCACCACTGCGTACGCCACTGTCACTGGACAGTGCGGCACGTCTGCACCCCTCTGTTGATGGGGAGAAGAGGAGATATTGTGCAGAGGGGTATGCATGAGAGCGGTGACCTTGCTGGGGTCCACACAGTCTTGACGTCTGCTACTCGCTGACGTCTGCTACTCGCTGACGTCTGCTACTCCCTGACATGTGCTCCCCGTTGTTGGGATGAGAAAATGGGCAGAGTGGTTGGAGCGGGGCACAGAGTGGTTGGAGCGGGGCACAGAGTGGTTGGAGCGGGGCACAGAGTGGTTGGAGCGGGGCACAGAGTGGTTGGAGCGGGGCACAGAGTGGTTGGAGCGGGGCACAGAGTGGTTGGAGCGGGGCACAGAGTGGTTGGAGCGGGGCACAGAGTGGTTGGAGCGGGGCACAGAGTGGTTGGAGCGGGGCACAGAGTGGTTGGAGCGGGGAACAGAGTGATACGCTGCCTCCCTTTCCACCACCACCACACTCACCACGTGGACCAAGCTAAGCCAGTGCAGCTCTCACCACATCACATTGACCACTAGACTCAAGGCTCACCACGTTGAGCAGCCACGCGACCTCATCCAGAGCCGACACCAGCAGCGCCGTGGCACCCGCCTCCCTCATCTCCGCCCGCAGCTGCTGCAGCTTCGCCCTCACCGTCCGCCCTGCGAACTCAATCGGGTGCACCCTCATGGGCGCTGAGGGCGGAGGGGGGCGCTGGATGGGAAGCACAGGGGGAGGGATGGGGGAAAGAGGAGAATGGGAAACTTTTGAGACGTCTAAAAATAAAGCCCCTCATCCCCGCCCGCAGCTGCTGCAGCTTCACCCTCACCGTCTACCCTGCGAACTCTATTGGGTGCACCCTCATGGGGGCTGATGGAGGCGGGGGACGCTGTTGGGGAAGACGGGGGGGTAGGGGGAGAACAGAGAGACTTGAAGACGTCTGAGAGAACAGGGTTGCTGTTGCGCAGCAGCAATATAAGTTGACCCCCAATATAAGTTGACCCCCAATATAAGTTGACCCCCAATATAAGTTGACCCCCAATATAAGTTGACCCCCAATATAAGTTGACCCCCAATATAAGTTGACCCCCAATATAAGTTGACCCCCAATATAAGTTGACCCCTTACCCCCCCACACACCACCCTCCGCTCGCTTTTCCCCCTCAACACACACGCACCTCCGCGCCCCCCACTGACCTCCGCACCCCCCACTGACCTCCGCACCCCCCACTGACCTCCGCACCCCCCACTGACCTCCGCACCCCCCACTGACCTCCGCACCCCCAACTGACCTCCGCACCCCCCAACTGACCTCCACGTCCCCGCACTGACCTCCGCGCCCCACACGACGTCAACGGGGTTGCTCTCGCGCAGCAGACGCACCACCACAGATGAGGACGCTGCCAGCGTGTCCGCCAGGCCCCTCACGTTGTCCGCTGAGTGCACAAACTGGGGGCGGCAAAGAAAGAAAGAGTGGGGAGGGAAAGAAGAGGGGGAAGGACGAACACATACGGAGGCTGTTAAAGTGTCCGCCAGCCCCCTCACGTTGTCGGCTGAATGCACAAACCGGAAGTGAGGGAGGGGGCGGGCAATGGAGAGAGAGATGGGGGGGAAAAGGGATGCGTCAATTCAGAGGGTGTCGGAGCACATGCCAGCCCCCACACGTTGGGAATGGCGGAATGGAATGTGGGGGTGGAAGGAGAGGCGGGGGCAAGGGAGAGCAGCGAGATGCTTTGATTCAAAGGCTGCTGGAGTGTAGGCAAGGCCCCTTTCATGCGGTTATGCCTCTGCTGTCCCTGGCAATAATTCCGCCAGCCAATCCGCGGTGACTTTTAAGCCGACTCAAAAGTCACTCTGCGGTTATGCCTCTGCTGTCCCCTGGCAATACTTCCGCCAGCCAATCCGCCATGGGACACCTTCCAGGCATCTCCCCATTGCTACAGGCTCTATTTCCCTCTGAGACCCTCCGTCCCCCCTCCTCCTAACTCACCCCTTGTCCCTCTTTTCCACCCTCCCCCTCCTCCTCACCGGGTCAACCCCCACTCTGCTGCCCGCAGGGAGAGCCTCAGCCAGCCAGTCAGCGACGGACGGCACGCCAGGCATGCCCGCGCGCATGAGGTCCCAGGCGGGCGGAAGCTGCTGCTCCGCCTGCAGGAAGTAGCGCCCGTCCGTCCACAGCAGCGCGCGCTCGCGCGTCACCACCGCCGTCCCCGCGGACCCCGTGAATCCGGAGATGAACGCGCGGCGCTCGAAGCACGGCGCCATGTACTCGCTCTGGGGGTCGGCGTGGGGGGTCGCGTGGGGGGGAGAGAGAAGGGGGGCCGAGGGGTGGGGTGGGGGAGGGAAAAAAGGGTGGGGAAAGGGGTTGGGAAACACCCGTGGGGGGGAGAAAGGAGATAATGAGGTATGGATTGTGGCAGCCATGCACGCGCTCGCGCGTCACCACCGCCGTGCCCGCGGACCCCGTGAAGCCGGAAATGACCGCGCGGCGCTCGAAGCACGGCGCCATGTACTCGCTCTGCCGCGGAGGGGGGAAAGGTGGGAAAGAGGGGGGGAAGGGGAAGAGAAAAGTGGGGGGAAAGAGGAGGGGGGGGGGTTGCGGGGGAAGAGGAAGGGGGGGATACCCGTGGAAGAAGGATGAAAGGAGAGAGGAATAAGTGAATTTGACAGCAATGCGATCCCAGGTTACCACCGTTGCGCCTGGTGATGGGGCTGATGCAGATGGCAAAGCGCCGATGAGAAAATACCCCTGATGTGCGCAAGAGCTTGTATCTCGTTCGGAGTTCGGGACCTAATATGTGGAGGTTTCAGAAAATCAACCTGGTGCGGGTCTTCGGACGGAATGATGAACGCGTCGACGCCCTTCCCCCCATCCACTTCCGCCATCACTTCCCGCAACCGGCGCAAGCGCTTCTCCAGCTCCTTCCCCCGCTTCTGCGCCTTCTTCCCCTCATCCTCCGCTTTCTTCTCCGCATCCTCCGCCTTCTTCCCCGTATCCTCCGCCGCCGTATTCCCCGCTACAATCTCCCTGTCTGGTTCGGCTTTTGCATCGGCGGAAGGAGCAGAGGGTTCGGCGGAAACCTCGTCAGCGCTGCTTTTTCGTGCGCGCGCAGAGCAGGTGAGGGATCGACGGCGAGACCCGCTACCGGGAAACGCGGCGGGTGAGGCGGCGAAAGAGACGGACGGAGTTCTGGTTAGACTTCCGGAACGACGTCCATTTCGAATAGAGAACGCACTGGAGGATGACCTAATTCGTGTACTGGCCGCCACGCCAGTGAATGTTCTAGAAACATGCGACGATACTAAGGGCATGACGAAATCGTGAAGAGCGGTGGAGAAGGGAAGAAGCGGAGTGGACCGGCCGAGAGCTAGGGTGAGGGAAGAAGCTGGAATGGCGGTGTGGCTTAACATTGTGGAAGAGGCGATGCGGATAAATGACGGACGCGCGACCACGGCGAATGGCGCGGAAGCTGACGCTGACGCTGACACTGCTGCGGCTACGGCTGCTCGCAGCATGCGAGTTCCTGATGCAGGAGCTGTCTGCCTCTGCCAGCACCTCTCGAATCACCAGGAAATTCCGCCGGAAGATGCGGAGACAACCGAGCGAGAATTCTGGTGGAGTGTAAAATAGCTTTGCACCGTTGAGTGCACTGTCTTGTGAATTGAACCACGTGAATTTGTGAATTTGCTTCACAACGAGAATGCTACGATTCTGTGCTGCCTCCCCTGCTTCTCTCTCATCAAGGTGAATTCAACCTCAATGAGTGACCAGATACACAACGAGGTGCAGGATCACTCTGGGCCGTCGATTTCAGAGAGTGGATTGAGTCAGCAAGTAGCCACGTGACCTTGATTGGTGCGACACATCCCAAGGTCGGGGGCCACTCGTTGCAAGTACGTTGCGGTACTGTACACTTTATAAGCAGGGGAGCTGGTGTGCATATGCTAGAAAATATGAAATCGTTTTTTACACCTCCCCGCAATTTCGAATTCTCCCCCAGCCTCCAAACTCCCCCCACCCCCCTTGAGATTGTTTTCCCTCCCCGTCGTTCTATTTCACCCCGAACCGCATTTCTCCCCCTCGTTCCTTCTGTTACAGTACCTCATCTGCATCCCTTTCACCACTTTTTCTGAGGCGCATCCCAGACTAGCAGCTGTTTCAGAACAATTGCACCAGCAGTTCGTGGCGACGGTACAGCGTGAGATCGATTATTTGTAGTCACAACCTTTCGCTGTTTCATGGAACCTCGCTGAGTTCGATAGCATCTACTCCCAATCTCGCATCGCAACGTTCTCGCGAAACTGAATTTTCGATAGCAGGGATAAAGGAAAGATAGCCGTCAGCGAAGATAGCTTCAACGCTACTATGATTTGAAGCTAAGGCTTTCAGACAATGGTGAACAGATGGTGATGAAATATGGCATATTAGAAGAATCGTACATATTAAAAAAAATAACCTACTATACAATACAATGAACTATAGCAGCCCACCAATTTCCAGCCCACCGAATAGCAGCCCACCAAATCGCAGCCCACAAAGAGGACGACGGACCATCATGTCAATTACGATTACATTCCACCAATTTTGCGAGGGAATGTGATTTAGTTGAGGGGCTCCATGGGGAACTCCTCGACGGGGCTCAGCTGCTTGGCGCGGTGGTACTCGGTTTGCGCGCAGTCCACGGACAGCACGGAGCTCGACTCGTACAGCCGGGGAGTGCCGTCGAGGAACCCAGCGCCCTCCGCGCTGTCAGCCGACACCGGCCGGTGCAGGTTCGCGATCAGTCGCTGGAAGTCGGCGGCGCGCGCAGCGTGGTCGGGGCGGTAGGTTTGCCCGAGCACGCCGTGCACGTCGTCGGTGTGCTCCAGCTCGACAATCCCCACGTTGATGTGCGCCTCGGCCTCGCTGGGCGTCTGAAGCTTGGGGTTGGCGACGCGCAGGCGCAGGTCGAGCGCCACGAGCCCTTCGATGGAGAGCGTGTAGTAGTCCACGTCATACGGGCCCTCCTTCTCCAGAGCCGCGAACCGCACAGTCAGACCGCCCTCGGTGGTCACCTCGTCGCCCACGCTCATCCTCGGGATCTCCTCGCCGTCGATCTCGATTGTCTTCATGAAGCCCTCGCCGCGCTCCTGCTGCTTTCCGGAGCGCGCCGCGAGGCGCACCTTGTGGTCGGCGCCGTTAGCGAACCAGATGATGCCCAGCTCCTTGATCCACGTGTGCACGGCCTTGCCGTCGACGACGAGCGCCGCGTTCTCCGTGTCGTCCGAGTAGTACCCGCGCAGCAGCATGTTCACGTGCAGGTCGCGGTCCGTCAGCAGGCAGAACGCCTTGTCGGGGCGCCCGTTGAAGTCGAAGTGCGTGCCGTACGCGCCCACCAGATGCGGGTCGTTCACCACGTTCGCCGCGGGGTTGCACTCGCCGCCCGTGCGCACCTGCAGCGCGATGGGCTTCGAGTCCGTCGCGTACTGCGCCGTCAGCTCGCCGCACGAGTAGTCGATGTTGTCGTGCACCAGGTAGCACGCGCCCTCCGTCTTCTTGCCGTCGATGGTAATATCGGGAATGTACTGCCAGTACGTGCAGCTGCTGAACCCCGCGCACGTGTTGCAGCACGTCTGCGGGGACGCCTTCTTGAGCGTGAGCGGATTCCCCTTCACGTACACCTCCACGCCCAGCTTGTTCTTGAGCAGGTTCGACGTCTTCCACTTGGCGGGGATGCCGCCCTTGCTGCAGTTGGCGGGCGTGCACGCGCCGTCCCCGGGTTTGCCCAGGTCCTTGTGGCACTTCATCTTGTTCCATCCGGCCTGCTTCACGTCCACCATCAGCATGCTGTCCGTGCTCGGGCTCACGATCGTTGTCCCCTCGAAGTTGTCCAGCTTGCCCGCAGCCGCCGCCTTCTCGATGCCAGGAGGGACCACCGTCGCCACGCCATTGTCGCCCTTAGCTTGGTCGAGGTTCACCGCGGGGTTGTTGGGACCCGTCACGACGGTTTGTCCTGCGGACGCCACCGCCAGCAGGACGGCGAACGATACGACGAATAGTAAACGCGCCATTATGATCACTAGGTCTAGGAATCGGCGAACCCGCGATCTACTTTTGCTGGCTAATTGGATGTTTGATCTAGTAAAGACTATAACAGAGCCGCGAGTTCTCCTTGACAAAAGGTTCGTGTTTGAAAAGATGCGAGCATTCGTATTTGTGCCTCGGAGATGAGGCCGGTTGGCTCAGCCATTAAACTCCAGGTTTCCAAAGTTGGAAGATTGTTGCGAGTCGCGATGTGGTACAGTAGGAGGAGTTCTCAGGGAGGTTGAAGCAGGTTTATCTCAGGAGAAACTTTTCTGACTGTACATTCAATCTGACAAGCGCTCCGGCTTCCCCAGACTTCAGCATGTTCAGGATGTATCAGGTCACTTTCCGCACATGTTGCTGTAAACTACGAAGCGCAGGGGGCCTACCAGGAAGGCTTTACCAGCCAGCGCACAGAACCTACCTGAACGAAGTCGATGAACACCGCAGGTGTTTCCTGAGGCAGGTAATGTTGGTTGTTTCATTGCGCGTGTGACCCTTTACAAACAACTTTTCCATACGTCCCACATTAGATACCAGGAGTTCCATGTGAAAGATATTCGTGAATACAACGATAATGTTTTTCCAAAAAATGCTGGTTACACAGATCCGTTTTTGGACAGGTTTGGTCCAAGTTAATATGTAATAATTACTGTTATAAATATTCTCCCATAAATGTTTTTTTTTGCATTTTAAAGTTGTTAAGGGAATGTGTTGGCTGTGAAATGAGTTAACTAGACAACAGTCCGTGTTATTTATCAGCACATATTTTGATAAAGAAGACACTTACACATGACACATTCCGCGAACACACATTTCCCCCTATTTCATGCGACCTGAATTCAGCCGATGAGAGACTTCATGGCAGGAACGACCACAGGTTTCCACGATTTCCGCACGGAGCACCGCCGTAAGCCATCCTTGCTTCCGCATCTATTGCCTTGCCTTGCGTTGTCTCTTGTTTCCTCGTGGCTTTCCTGGTTTTTCATCGTTGCTCTCTTTCCGTGCTCGCTGTCGAATCTTCCTGCAGCCTTCGTCTTTTCCATCCGCGGCACGGCTTCTTCTCGAGCCTTGTTGCGCCCACAGCAGAGCCCGTGCGGGTGAGACGCACAGCCGCCCAAATTTTGAGTTGAATCAAAGACAGCAGAGCTCGTGCGGGTGAGACACGCGTGCCATCCGCCAATCAGACATGGAGAGTTCGCGGAGAGGATTAGCGGAGCTGCTGGCGCCGTCCCCGATACAATCCGCTCCGCTTTTGGAGATTATAACTCTGGAGGATTTCGAGTGTGGAGTCACGCAGCGGTGCGGGCGAAACGCGGTGCCAGCGCAACACGCAGCGGGATATCAGGAGGACTTTCAGGCGGATTTTCAGGCCGCCGTGGATTTTATTCTGCGGGGAGACGTTGATGGGGGGACGACTGGCAGGAGGGGAGCGCGTTCTGCGGCGGAAGAAGCGGAAGGGCGGTTGGAGGGTGAAGGCGCGGGGCTCGTTATAAGACACGGAAGAGACGCGTTGGATGAGAGCGGGGATGTGGTGATGTCGGATCTAAACACTGAAGAGACCTATACCGCGGATAAGCTTCTCACGCCGCCCTCCAGTGAGAAGTGGACACGTGGAGGGTATCTTGACTTGAATCGAATCAGCGATTTCCTGGATCTGCAGATGGCCAAAATCAGCGAATCTAGTGCTGCTAGACGACAAGATTTGGGCGGCACAAGTAACAGGAGTAGCATGGGCAGTACCATAACCAATCCCGCCGCGGAAGGCCTTATAGGCAGATTAGGACCGCCTATAGTCTACATGCTACGTAGCTCGTTCTCAGGGGAGATTAAAGTAGAGGGGGGCGGGCCATGGGGGCCTGCGGAAAGGGCTGGGGGAGGAGCGGAGGGGGAGGCGGAGGGTGGGGGAGTGGGGAGCAGCCGCGGGCGGGGGATTGCGGATGCTGCTGCGGCGCTGCGGAGCATATGGGCGGGGGAGGACATGGAAGGGGTTGAGATTGAGGGGATAGAGTGGGCAGGCGCAGGGGGGGGCGCAGGGGGGGAAGCAGGCGGAGGGGGAGGCGGGGGGGTAGGATGGGAAGGGTTGTTGCTAGAGTCCCTGGGCAGAGTGGGAGGAGCGGGAGGAGCAGGAGGAGGAGGAGCAGGAAGGGGAGCAGCAGGAGCAGCAGGGGGGCGGTCAAGAAGCAGAGGCAGGGCACGAGAGGACCTAGGAGGCGGGTTGATCCTCGAATCCCTCAGCAGTTTCAGCAGCGCACGCGCCAACGTGTGCGTCTATGCCGGCCGGTGGCAGTACGAGGCGACTCTAGGCTCCTCCGGCATTCAGCAGATCGGGTGGGCGACTCTCGCATGCCCTTTCACTGCGGAGGAGGGCGTGGGGGACGCGCCCGACTCGTATGCGTTTGATGGGAAGAGGGTGCGGAAGTGGAGTGGGTGGTCGGCGCAGTATGGGCAACCATGGGCCGCGCATGATGTGATTGGGTGCTGTATTGATTTGGAAGGGGATGGGGGTGGGGTGGGAAGTGGGAGTGCAGGTTCGGAAGCCGCTGCTGCTGGTGCTGCTGGTTCTGCCGGTGCTGCTGGTGCTGCTGCTGCTGCTGCTGCTGGCGCTGCTGTTGGTGGTACTGCTGTTGGTGGTACTGCTGCTGGTGGTGGTGGTGGCAGAAGCAGTGGTGGTGGTGCTGCTGCTGCTGCTGCTGCTGGCAGGGCAACCAGTGGTGGAACGGCAGTGGGGAAGGTAACATTCTATCGCAACGGGGAGTGTCTGGGAGTGGCGTTCACAGGAGTGAAGGCGCTACAGAGGGGCCTGGCATACTTCCCAGCCATCTCCATCTCCCACGGGGAGCGCTGTGAGCTGAATTTTGGCGCCCGTCCCTTCCGTTACCCGGTTAACGGGTTCCTCCCATTGCAGTCGCCGCCTCGCCTGTGCTGGCCTGTGCCCTCTGCTGCTACAGATTCACGGGATGCTCATGCTGGTGCTGCTGCCACGGCTGCTGCTACTGCTGCCCCCGCTGCTGATGTTGCTGGTGCAGCTTCTGCCCCTACCGACAGTGCTGCTGCTGCTCCCGTGCACTCTCCTCCGTCTCCCATCGACCCTGCCTCTCTCCCCACCCACGTGGGCCACTTCCTCCTGCCCACCCTGCAATCCACCTCACCCCACCCCCACTCCCATCTACTCACACCAGACAGCACAACAGGCACATATCGTGTTGCAGACTTGGATGCAGCTGCGTGCTCCTCCTACCTCCTCCACTGCCTTTCCCGCCTGCTTCACCTCACCTCCCTCCCCTCCTCATTGTCCTCCTCTGCACCACGTAAATGCCGCCTCTGCCTCGCATTCCCGCCATAGCCTGCCGCCGAACCTGCCATTCCGAACTTGTCCGCTAGGCCCGGACGACGAGGTTCTCCTGGCGGAGCTGCTGTGTGAGAGGCTCGGGCCGTTGCTGCTGGCCGGTGGGGCACGAATGGAGGTGCAGAGGCAGATGGGGAGGAGAGCGGGGGAGGGCAAAGTTGGAGGCGGGGGAGGTGGGGGAGAAAGTGTGGGGTGGGTGCGAGGGGGGTATGCTGTATGGGCCGCCCTGCTTCCCTTCCTCCTAGAGCTGGCACCCAGACAGGGACTAGGCGCAGGCATGGGTAAGCGGCATGCAAATAGAAACAACCAGCAGGCACAGCTGCAGCAGCAGCGTGGGTGGAGCATGGTGGACAGGGTGATGGACTTGCTTCACCTGTGCCTGGAGGAGCATGAGTGGTCCGGGATCATTCCCGCCCTCATGGACGCCCTAGCCTTCCACTCCCGAACCTCCCTCGTAGGCTCGGCAGCACTTACCGTGCCGAACTCCGGTGCAGGAGCAGAAACAGTTTCCGGCTCGGGAAAACCACCAGAGGTTTGGCAAGGGGGGCGGGATCCGTACCCGTACCTATCCCTGGCCTGCCACTTAGCTAAGCGACAAGAAGTACTAAGCGCGTGGCGGGCTGCAGACGGATTCTCCACCAATTTAGAGGCGTTTTTAACCCGCAAAGTAGCCACGAGAGTGGATCTGCAGAGGCTGTTTCCCTCGCTGTGGTGGCCTGGGTGCAAGGAGGAGGACTGCAGTGCAGCAGCGTTGGAAGAAAGCAAACAGGCGCTAGTCAAAGCAATGACCAGGGTGGAGCTCTGTCAAGTGTCGCTCTGCCGCTCGCTCCTCTTCTTTGTCCCCTCTAAGAGCATCACAGGGACTTCCTCGACTTACTCGCTTGCGACTGGCGGGGTGCTTGCTCCGTTTCTGAGGAGTCTCATTCGCAAGAACCGGGCGGCGAACAGGAATATTGTGCCCCCCGGGCTCTCGGACAGTAGCGTGCTGGTGACGGCGTTTTTTGTCCTCTTGCGGTTGCTGTGGGCGGGACTGGTGGGCCGTGGATCCGGGAAACTGCAGAAGGCAAAGAGAGGTGGGGCTTTAAGAGGGTCACAGGGCGCAGGAGGGTCAGGAGGTGTGGGAGGGTCGGGAGCAGGGGTTGAGAGGGGTGAAAGAGGAGAGGGCCTGGGTGAAGCAGGGGGGAAAGGGGTTGGACGGGAGGGAGAAGCAGAGGGAATGGATGTAGACGTGCATGTAGGGGAGACAGAGAGGGAGCATGCACGTGGGGGGGAAGCGGAGAGAAGGGCTTGGGCAGAGGAGGAAGAGAAGGAAGAAGGAGAAGAGGAGTATGAGGAGGAGGAGGAGGAGGAGGAGGAGAGCGGGGAGGTATCGATGCTACCATGGCCAAGAACTCCCTCTGGGGCCGTCAGGAGCAGCTGGAGGGAGCGACAAGAGGCAAGGAGCGCCCTGAGAAGCAGCAGCAGCAGCAGCAGCAGCAGCAGCAGCAGCAGCAGCAGCAGCGGCAGCAGCGGCACAGCAGCCACTGCAGACGCCACTGCCGCCACTGCTGCCATCCCTGCAGGGGGTTACCTGCAGCGCTGTGGGCGGTGGAAGTTTCCTGTGGCCTTCTTCCTGCACCCCGACCTGCACTACTTTGACTTGCCACGTGTGGGCGGGCTCTTCAGCCACGTGGCCAAGACCTTCCCCCTCTCCGCGCCCCAGGACTTTGCCAGCGTGGCATGGAGTGATGCTGACGTGGATGATGATTATTGGGCGGCGGGCGAGGATGGGGAGGGGGAGGAGAGGGGTGCGCGGGAGAGGAGGAAGGAGGAGCGCGTGAGGGGGGAGGCAGGTGGAGGGGAAGGAGGGGGAGCAAGCGGGGGGAGGAGAGCAGAGGGGGTGCAAGAGAGGGGAATCGGAGGAGGGAGGAGTGAGGGAGGTCGAGAACGTGAGGGGAAGGAGAGGGGTAAGGAGAAGGTAGAGAGCGGTAAGGAGAAGGGAGAGGAGGATGAGAGGGATGTGCTTCTGCTGGACATGGCCGTGCTGCTGTTCCACCTGAGAGGCGTCGCTGCCTTCAAACAGGTTAGTCAGTCAGCCCCAGTCAGTGAGTGAGTGTGCCTCAAGAGCCGTGGCCACGATCATTCTTGCTGCTTCTGCTGGACATGGCCGTGCTGCTCTTCCACCTCAGGGGCGTCGCTGCCTTCAAACAGGTCAGTGAGTGAGTGAGTGAATGTGCATGAAGAAGAACCATTTGAGAGCCATACACTCACTTGCTCATGCTGTTACTGGCTGCTTCTGCTGCTTCCGTTGCCACTACACTCGCCTTCTCTTCGCCCTCCTTCCCTCTCTTTCGCTGGTTATCACCTTCCCTCCCCTTCATCACCTCCCTCCCCCTCCCCTTCCCCCCCAGGCGGCACTACAGCAGCAGGGCATGGTGCAGGCGGTGGGACTGTTGGAGGACGCGGATAGGCAGATCAGAACCTTCATCCAGCCCTCTTTCTCTTCTGCCATCCCGCCTTCTTGTCCCTCCCCCTACTCTTCTCCCGCTCCCCCTACTCCTTCCCCCCCCCCCCAGGCGGCGCTACAGCAGCAGGGCATGGTGCAGGCGGTGGCACAGCTGGAGGACGCGGACAGGCAGATCAGAACCCTCTTCCATCACTTCTCCTTGCCTTCTATCCCATCCCCCTCCCCTTTTCACCCCCTTCACAGGCAGCACTGCAGCAGCAGGGCATGGTGCAGGCGGTGGCACAGCTGGAGGACGCGGACAGGCAGATCGCTGCTGCCATGGGGGGGCGCGCGGAGGGAGGTGCTGCAGGGGCAGGGGCAGGGGGAGAGGCAGGCACAGGAGCAGGGACAGGGGTAGGGACAGGGGCGGGGGCGGGGGCAGGGGCAGGGGCAGGGGCGGGGGCGGGGGCGGGGGCGGGGGCGGGGGCGGGGGCGGGGGCGGGGGCGGGGGCGGGGGCGGGAGCAGGAGTAACGAGAGTGGCAGGGGCAGAGGGGGGGTCTGACGTGGATGCTGCAGGGACAGGTGTAGCAGCAGGGGCGGGGGTTCCCACAGTGACAGCACCAGGGGAACATGCTGGCGCATCTGGGGGAGGTACAGCTGGAGGGGTTGCACGCAGGGGAGGGGAAAGTACAGCCAGGGGAGGTGCATCTGGGGGAGGTGCATCTGGGGGAGGTGCATCTAGAGGGGGCGTGGGAGGGTCAGTGCGGGCGCAGAAGCTGAGGGAGGCGAGGCAGGTGTTCCGAGAGGATGTGGATGAGAATGTGAGGCTTGCAGTGTGGTGGAGAGCGGTGCTGGGCGGTGCGGCGTGGAAGCAGAGGGCGCTGGTGGGGGTGAGCAGGAGGGTGAGCTCGCTGCTGCTGGCTGCCAGCAAGAGGCGGCACATCTTTGCCTATGTGCCGGAGGTCTACCTGGAAGCCATGGTGGGTTGTTGTTAGTGTCTTGTGGGTTCATGGTGGTGGGTGGGTAGAGAAAAAGTAGCTGCTGCTGGCTGCCAGCAAACGAGGCCACATCTTTGCTTACGTGCCGGACTTCTATTGGAAGCAATGGTGGGTTTTCATGTGAAGCCATAGTGGTTGGTACTGCTGCCATGGTGAGTGTGGGGATGATGCATCTTCTGACTCGTTTCTCGTCATCCCTCCCTCTCCTTCCACAACACTCACCCCTTCCCTCCCACCTTTCCCACCCCCCCTCTCTCCCGCACCCCTTTCCCCCATTTCGCTGTGGTCTTCATGTCGCTACCCCTGCAGGTCGAGGCATTCCATGCCTTCAGGCGCTGCGACCCGCTCTGTTGAGATCACTTGTGAGAATTCTCAAAGTGTCTCCGCCCATCTTCCCCCGGTTTTCTCCCTCCCCATCGTCATGTCTCGCGCCCCTGCAGGTCGAGGCCTTCCATGCCTTCAGGCGCTGCGACCCGCCTCTCTTGCCACTGCTGCCGGTTTCGCACCCCTTTCCTCACATCTCCCACCCCCCCCCCCAATCGTCATCTCTCTCCGCACGCCCCTGCAGATAGAGGCCTTCCATGCCTTCAGGCGCTGCGACCCGCCTCTCTTCCGCCTGCGCCACTCCGTTCATCACCTCGCGCCCTTCGTAAGCCCGACACCAATATTCATCACACCTGAATCTCTCCTCTCAGATGTACCTTCACTTGCACTTGCACCCAACATGGGTGAAAATGCGCGTCCTCACGCCCTACCCCCGTCTTCACATCACCATCCCGTGATTGCACGTCCCATCTCGTAATCCCATGTGCTTGTCGCTCTCTCCTTCTCTCTCTCTCTTGCAGATATCCTTCCTGCTCACGAGGTTCAGCGATGCAAGGATCGCCAATCCAGACACCAGGGACCAGCTGCTACAGACGCTCTCTGTGCTGCTGCAGCTGCCGCCCTTCTCCGTCGCACTAGAGACAAACAAGGCCGCGCGCACCTGCTTCATGCCCAGCCTTCTCAACGCCTTTGACCAGCGCTTCTGGATACCCGTCTCTCAGGTGATTCGTCAGGCATCTGTGCCTCTCAGGGTGGTTATGAAACACAGGTGATTTTTCAGGTGTGTGTGCCACTCAGGGTGGTTGGTGCCTTCGCCTCTCAGGGTGGTTCGGACATTCTCAGGTAGTTCAGGTGCCTTGGCCTCTCAGGATGGTTATGTGTGAGCGAGCTTACCCTTTTCTTGCCTTCGCCAAACATTCTTTCCCCCCGCCCCGTCTGCACCTCATAGATCCTCCTGCGTCTCTGTGTGAGCAACCCCTTTGGAGGCCCCTCGAGCTTCCCCTCCCTCTCCCTCTCCTCCTCCTCCTCCACACCCTCCCTCTTCGCGCCTCTCTTCCAGCACTCCCTCCACCAGTTGTACCTGCACCAGCCACACCTCTTCTCGCCCTTCCTCAACCGCCTCTTCAACACTCTCAACTGGACGCTCACCGAGTTCCTAGTGGCTCTGAAAGAGGTGCAGGACCTGCAGCAGCAGGAGGAGGAGCAGCGGCGGCGGAGGAGCAGGAGGCACCAGCAGCAGCAGCAGCAGGAGCAGGCGTGGGACCTACAGCAGCGCAAGTGCAGCGTCATGTTTGACCTTACCTGTAACCTTGCAAGGCTGTTTGAGGTTCTCTGTGAGGCTGCTCCTGAGGTGTTTTTACCTGTGGGGAAAGGAGGTCGGGGAAAGGGAGAGATGGCTCTAGAAGGAGGTGAAGCAGGAGGAGCAGCAGCAGTAGCAGGAGGAGGAGAGGGAGGAGGGGGAGGAGGAGAAGGAGGAGAAGGAGAGATGCAAGGAGTTTCAGGAGGAGAGGAGGGGAGCAGGGCAAGGGGGGAGCGAGTCACCCAGGGCGAGGGAGAGGGAGAAAGAGAGCACGTTGAAGCCCAAGGAGAAGCAACGGCAGCTGCAGCACCCGCCACCTCGCCTGCTTCCGCCACGTCTCCTGTGCCGTCTGCATCCGACAGTTCTTTGGACCCGGAGATGAACCGCATGCGCCTGTTTGAGCTGCTGCTCTTCATCCTCAACCACACCTGCTCCGGTGCCGATGCGCGCGCTCTTGATGGGTAAGGTTGATGGAGAGAAGAAGCGGGTTTGTGAGGCATGGTAACGGTGTCCTGCTCGCGCCCCTTGTTGGCATCATTGGCGGCCTCTTTTTCTATTCTCCTGTTGTCACATTGTCACATTGTCTCCCCCTCTCTCACTCCTTCACTACAGTGTCCTGCAGGCCCACGTGTCCCTGTCCGACCAATCATCACGTCCCCTGGTGCTCGCGCCCCTCGTGGGCATCGGCCTCTTTGTCCCATTGTCTCATGTCCCAGTGCATAATATCCCATTGTCTCTCCCATCCTGCAGTGTCCTGCAGGCCCACGTGTCCCCATCCGACCAATCATCGCGCCCCATGGTGCTCGCGCCCCTCGTGGGCATCGTGGGCGGCCTCTTCTCGCACGCGCTGCGGGCCAATGGCAGCGCGCCAGCTGGCATGGTGCGGTCGGTGCTGCAGGCAGACCCCTCCCTGGACTGCCTGGCGGGGCTGGGTTACCTGTTGGGGTTCGACTGGGTGAGTTGGGTGAAGCGAATAAGGGAGGGAGTAGGAACCGAGTGGGAAAGTTAGTGAGAGAGTGATGGGGGAGTGAGATGGTGGTGCATGTCGTGCTGCAGGCAGACCCCTCTCTTGACTGCCTGTTGGGGCTGGAGTACCTTCTGGGGTTCGACTGGGTGAGTGGGGGATGAGTGTGGTGCCGAGTGAGTGAGAGAGTGAGAGAGTGTGGGGGAACTGAGATGTCATGATGCAGGCGGACCCCTCTCTGTACTGCCTGGCCAGACTGGAGTACTTGCTGGGGTTCGACTGGACTGGGTGAGTGGGGAAGGAGTGTGGGGCGGAATGGGAAAGCTTGTGGGAGGGGGAGGGAAGTGAGGGGGGGGTAGTTGTGGTGCTGCAGGCGGACCCCCTCTCTTGACTGCCTGGCGGGGCTGGGTTACCTGCTGGGGTTCGACTGGGTGAGTGGGGGGAGTGAGGAGGGAGTGAGTTGGGAGTTAAGCAGTGGTGCCACCCCGACTCTGGGCGAGCTGAGTGGCCTCGGAGGTATCCTGCTACCTCACTCCCTCAGTCCGTCAGTCCCCCAGTCCCTCAGTCCGTCAGTCCCCCAGTCCCTCAGTCCGTCAGTCCCCCAGTCCCTCAGTCCGTCAGTCCCCCAGTCCCTCAGTCCGTCAGTCCCCCAGTCCCTCAGTCCGTCAGTCCCCCAGTCCCTCAGTCCGTCAGTCCCCCAGTCCCTCAGTCCGTCAGTCCCCCAGTCCCTCAGTCCGTCAGTCCCCCAGTCCCTCAGTCCGTCAGTCCCCCAGTCCCTCAGTCCGTCAGTCCCTCAGTCCCTCAGTCCGTCAGTCCCCCAGTCCCTCAGTCCCTCAGTCCGTCAGTCCCCCAGTCCCCCAGTCCCTCGTACTGCCGCCCACCTCACCTTTCCGCCCCTCACCTGTTCTTTAGGCGGGAGCAACTCAGGCGGGAACAGGTCACTCGCAACACTTCTGCCTTCAAGGCGCCTGTCAAACACATTCCTCACTCCCCTCCCACCCACCACAGGAGAGTGAGTTTAGCAGCCCCCCATCAGCCTGCCTGGCTGATCTGCGCCTCTTTGTGGAGCAACTCAGGCGGGGGCAGTCTGCTCGCAGCACTGCACTAAAGCACGCTTCTCTCAATCCTCTCAACTCCCCCCACCCTCTAACCCCGCACAGGAGAGTGAGTTCAGCAGCCCTCCCTCAGCCTGCCTGGCTGATCTGCGCCTCTTTGTGGATCAGCTCCGGCATGAGCAGGCTGCTCGCAAGGCTGCTGCGGCTGCTGCTGCTGCCGCCGCTTCAGGTGAGCATGCACGCACTTACACTGGAGGGTGGCAGCATGAGAATAGGCAGCATGCGATTTGCCACAACCCCCTCTCTCTGTCTCCTTGCCAGCTTGCCCATCCCTGCCCCCATCCCCCTCGTCTTGCATCCAACTCACCCTTCTTCCTCCCTCTCCTGCTCCTCCCAGGTCGCAGCAAGAAGGGCAAAGATCACATGCAAGAGCAAGGACCCACCACAGAGGGGATGGCTGGGGTTGGTGCTGCTGCTGCTGGTGCTGGTGCAGGTATGGAGGAAGGCGAGGAGGAGGAGGAGGAAGGGGAGATGTGCAGCATCTGCTACGCTGCTCCCAGTGACACTCAGTTCATCCCCTGTGGCCACTCCTCCTGTGAGCGCTGTGTGGCACGGCACCGACTTAACAGCCCCCGCTGCTTCTTCTGCAACGCTGTCATCGAACGACTGGCGGCGAGGAGTTGAGAAAGCTGGAGGAGGCTGAGCTGGAGATGTTTTACAAGTTGAAATGGAATGGACGGTGCTGCTGCTTCTGCTTCACCTAACATGCTGCCGCGAGCAGCATTTTACTTTGTTACCAGTGCTCACTCTTTTTCTTTTTGCATGTTCTGCATTAGGCAGACCTGCACTGTCCGCGTCAGTACGGCTACAGCAAACCTGGTTCTTAGACTGAATGTCTTGCTTGTGTCATCTCTGCTGTTGCCCTGCTGGTGCTATCTGGTTTGTTGGTTGCCATTTATCAGCTGAAAGTGGGCTGTAATATGGACAGTAAAAAACGGCTTTGCAATGATGCAGCCGCCAGGCCCAGTGCTGGTGCCATGTATAGTACTGGTATATTCCTGGTGCTATTTCTTGGTCCAGGCAAGAGGAGTCCAACCAACCAGACCGGTAGCATGCAGAACATAGTTAGGGTGGCTGCAATGCTGAATGCGGAACTAGTGAAACGCATGCTTTGCCAGCAGATAGCAGCACAGCCATGCGGGACCCAAAGCGGGTTATCGTCCTCACATGATCACATCACATGTTACTGCATGGTGGTTACTAGTGCGAAGCAGGTGGATGGGTGTTATTGTGCAGAGTAGGGGGAGAATGCATGGGAGAAGGTGTGAAAAGGCGAGGCATGGGAATGATGAGGATGATGGTGGTGGCGATGGTGCAGTTGCCTCTGGTGCAGGTGGTGAGTCGATGCTTCCTCAATCTGCATGACGCAAGAGAGAATGCACCGGCATAGGAGAGAGAGAAGAAAATGCAGAGGTTGGGGAGAGAAGGGAATATGCACAGGCACAGGAAGAAAGGCAATGCGCGAGAGCAGGGAAGCGGGAAGCAGTCATATAGTGAAGCGTGGGGTGGGGAGCTGAGTTGGGAAGGTATGTGCACCGTGCAGTACCCACCTCCACCGTCACGTGTGTGATCCCAACCGCTCGGAATACATCCGAGACGCGCCGCCTCAACGACTGCCGCAGCTGCTGAACCGCCTCCAGCCGCCGCTGCTTGTCCCCGTACTCGCTATAAGCATCTCCGTTATGTGCTGCTACACCTCCCTCGTTCGCTCTATCTTTGAGGCTATCTGGAGATATGAGCACGTGGATTGAGCCCACGAGCATCTTAGGAGTGAAGGACCAGAAGTGCCACTGCCGCACCGCCACCACCCCTGCCATTGACTCAATCTGCCATGGGCAATGGGATGATGGGTCGGGCATCGGAAACACATGTGGATGACTTTGATTAATAAGAGAAAGGGTGACAGGCGTGGTGCATGGAATGGGGCGTGGGGGATGAAATGGGGTGACGGTGCCTAGATCTGGAACCCTGAAACTCACTGGACAGTCAAAACAATGTAGTCCCACCCACCCGCTCACCTTCTTCAGGGCAGCTGAGATCTGGTGCTCTGCTGCCCGGGGCACTCTTTGAAGAATAATTTCAGCAGAGTTTTGCAGCAGAGGGATGACAGTGCTGATGATGAGCGCTGATATGAATATGGAACACGCCTGGTGGTTGTGCGGAGGAGAGAAAGGGGAGAGGAGGAGAGGTGGGGAGAGAAGGGGAGAGAGGGGAAGATAGGGAAGATAAGGGGAGGTACAGGGGAAGAGAAGGGCAAGGAGAAGCCAGAGGAGGAAGGATGAGCAGAGGGATTTCAATGTTCACGATGAGCATGCCTCGTGATTCCAATGACATGAACATGGAAGATGCCTCGTGGTGTAGTGGGGCAGAGAACGGGTTGGAAAGGGGCAAAAGGTATGAATATGGAACAAAAGGGCCCGGCCAGTCTGGAAGCAAGCATGAGTGCCTTACTGCAGATAAAACGTTGGACCTTGTGGATTCTCACTGGGTCTGTGAGCATTCAGCCCTTGTACTTGATAAGAAGGGTCAATACCCCCACACCCACGCTCACACACCCACACACTGCCAAACCCTTGCCCTGCCGTACAGGCATGCACCCCTGTATTTCTCTCCCATTCAACCTCTCCTTACCGGGTCTGTGAGCATCCAGCCCTTGTAATTGATGAGGAGTGTCGATATCACCACCCCCATACGGCCCATTCGAAGCATGTGCAATGGCACACCCACACCCCCTACAAGCAAGGAAAAACTGGCCCTTGTTTGCCCCCTCTCCTCACCGGGTCTGTGAGCATCCAGCCCTTGTACTTGATAAGCAGGGTCGATATCACCACCCCCACACTTCCCAGTGTGTCTGCCAACACGTGCAGGAAGATTCCTGGACGGAGGCCATGGGTGGGACGTATTAGAGAGTAACGAAGTGTTGAGCGACAGGGGTAAAGGAGAGAAGGAGGGTATGTGTGCGAATGTGGAGACAGAAAACGACCCAGGACGTGAGAGAGGGAAAAAGGAGGGAGAATCCAACATGTGGGGAGAGCGGGAGCGCAGAAGGGAGAGGGAGAGGGAGGCTAGATTAGAGGGAGATAGAGGGAGGGGGAGAGAGGCAGGAGAGCTCACCACGCATGTTGTGGTCCACATGGGCACTGCCGGATGTGAGCACCTCTTGCACACATGCCTCTCCTCCCTCCCCGTCTCCACCTCCCACATCCCCATGCCCATGCCCACCTCCCACATCCATGCTCAACGACGAGCATGATGCATCATGGGTCATGGCTTTACTCTCATGCTCATGCTCATGTGTGTGCCCATTCCCATGCTGATGCCTGTGCTTATGCCCGTGCACATGTTCATGCGGATTTTCTTCCCCATCCAACTTGCTCTCTCCTGCCCACTCCTCGAAATCCAGCCTCACGGGCAGCGCCTGAAAACTTTCATCTCCTACTGCAGCAGCACCCCCTTCCCCTATTCTCCTCCTCGCTTTGTGCACGGCCAAAAGTTTCTCTGCCCCTGACGATGGTAGTGCTGGTGACTCAAACGAAGGTGATGATACAGAGATGGGTGATTGTAAGAGTGATCTGGTGGTCATGGTGCTGTTGCTCCTGGCATCTTCCCAATTCTCCTGCTCCCATTCGTCCCCTTCTAGTGCACTCCCCCCCTCATGCCTATGCCCGTTTCCATGCCCATGCCCATGGTCGCATCCATGCATGTCCTTATGATGATAATGTGGCGTGTGGTGCTCATGGTGATGATGCCCCTCGTGCTGGTGCGCATGTCTTTTGCAATCATGATCGTGCGTATGTGCATGCTCATGCCTATGGTTCAGCTCGTGCTCATGCTCATGCTTATGCTCATGCTTATGCTCATGATCGTGGTCGTGGTTATGGTGGGAATGGTTATCTTGATGCTCGTGATGATGATGATGATGGTCGTCATGATGGGAATGGGTGCATGACCCACCATGGGCATGCCCATGCTCATGCTTGTGCTCGTGCCCATGGTGCGAATGAGAATGGGAGTGGTCATGCACATGCGAGTGGGAGTGGTCATGGTCATGGGAGTGCGAGCAGGTGCCCCCATGTGCGTGGTGGTGGGCCTCATGGAAGAACACGAGTCCCACCATGTTCACCACCAGGCCCCCCACCGACACCGCCAGCAGGTTTGCCGTTGATATGTCCGGTGGGTCAAGGATTCTGGAGTGAGAAAGAAGGAGTGAGAATGGGACAACACGAGGAAGGCAGGAGGGTGAAGAAGGCAGGATCTAGACAGAAAGGGAGACAGGAGTGAAGCTCTAAAGCACGCTCAGAAGCGAGCTTTAAACACGCTCTGAAATAATCAAGCTGTTTGGTTTGAACGACATGCAGGAGATAGTTGTGTTTCCACACGGCGAAACACAAGAGAAACGAAAACCATGGACAGAAGGAGGGCGCACCTTTCAATGGACTCAAAAACGATGAGCGTGGCGATGAGTACGAGAAAGACTGCATTCAGCCCGATAGCAGGAGAGTTTGAAAAATAACAACTAAAAAGTCTCCTGCATAATCAAAGGCGCACCTTTCAATGGACTCAAAGACGATGAGTGCGGCGATGAGTATGAGAAAGACCGCATTGACAAAGCCCGATAGCACCTCAAAGCGACCATAGCTGCACGAGGGAAGCCGCGCAGATGGCATGGGAAAAGGGTGGGAAGGGACAGGAGGCAATGGGATGGGATGGGTGGGATGACATAAGAAATGGTGAAGAGAGATTGAGTGATATCTGGCGACAACTCAGAGCAGCAAATGCGGCAGGAAGGCGAGATTTTCACGAACCCGTAGGCAAACTTAGAAGGGGAGTCGAGGCGGGAGATGTAGGAGGCATATAGGCCGATGGCGAGCGCAGCACAGTCGAAGAGCATGTGACAGGCGTCTGATATGAGCCCGAGACTGGTGGTTGTGGGAGGAGGGTGTGGGAATAGGACGAGGGAGGGGAAGAAGCAGAAATGAGCGTGGGAGAATGGCATTAACACACAGCCCCAGGGACCTGTGTTACATGGCATTTGCACACTACTGAGGAGCCATGGATTGAGCAAGCCTCGTTTCATAGCACCAAGCAGCACTACGCAAATCTATTCCTAGTCCCATGCAATCAGGCCAGCGAATGAAAACTTCCAAAACCAGAATCGATTTAACCGGAATCAGTCCAGCCCAAATAGGGTCAGCCCAAACGCACCTGTTGGAGAGGAAGCCGACGGAGAACTCGACGATCATAAACGCTGCGTTGATGAGGAGAAAGACTGGCGGCGGGGAGAGCGGCGAGGCACGTGGAATGGGAGGCGGGTGGGAGGAGAAAGAGGAGGACAAAGGGAGTTAAAAAGGAGGTTGACAAAGGTTAAATAAGGAAAGAAGCTCGAGGTAAGGGAGGAAAAACTTAAGGAGGTCATGTGTGAGAGGACGTGCAGAGTTGATGAAACGAATTAATTCGCATACTTATTTTTTTGAAGGGCCTAGAATATCTAACCTAAACCGCTCCATGCACTCCCGATTGTAATTGAGATAACATGTCTGACTATTTCTGGTTTCATCAAGACTCAAATTCACCGTTTCTCATATCTAACGCATGCGAAAACTTTTGGAAATCGAGAATGCACCATGGAGCAGGGATCGTGCTGCTATGATTCATTCAGACAGGCCCACATCCCCATTGCACCACTGTTGCAACAAGTACGCGTGTCTGCTTGCTTCCTAGCCCGTGGCCATACGTACGCGCAATACGGCGTGACTTGGAATCAGACATGACGTGGTCCATGGCTCCCTGCGGGTGTGTGCACAACACGTCCCACGGCAGGAGAGGGCAGGATACCACACGTCAGTCACTCTTCCAAGCCAGGCTCTTTTTGCCTGCGCTCGTGAGGAAAGAAAGGGGTGCAACAAGGAGGAAGTACTAGGTACGGACCTATAGGAGAAAGACAGGGAATATAACGGAAAAGTGGGCCCCGCTGACTGGACGACCGGGGCAGCTTAGAAAAAAAAAAAAAAAAAAAAAAACGTCAAACATCGCGGCTGCTTTCGAATCAGACATGACTACGAGCGGTGCTTTCCCAGTGTGTATGCAAGCCCCTCTGGATTAAGCAACTTCAGCTCATTTCAAAAACAAGAGCCAGTTCAGGTCAGACTCAGCAACGAGAGCTGGACCTCACAGGGTTTCGATTCAGCCCATGCCGTAATGCTTTCCCACCCACCAACCTTGCACCAGATAACCCATTTGAACCCATCACTTCTGGACGATTGGAAGTGCGAGTGCACATGCTTGCAGCATTCTGTTGCTTCCTCCTTGCCCCACACACGCACTGACCTGCAGCATGGCGAGGGCCGCCGTTCTGCGCCTCTCCTTGGCCGCCACCCCATCCTCTGCCAGCGACCCCGCTGACTTGCTGCGCTCTATGGCCGTGGACCAGTGCAGGCCTGGTTGGGGAGAGAGGGCAGGGCAGGGTTGAGACGAAGACACTTGACTCTCAGAGAAACGACCCCACTGATTGGCAAGAACCCGGTTGCCTTGTTAACATTGACATGGACTCCTCAATCAGAAGGACGGAGAGTGTGCATAAGAAGGGAGAGAAAAAGAGGAAAAGAAGAAGGGGCGTGTGGTGGGGTTGCAGGGAGGAGGGGCTGTGGGGTGTAGTGGATAAGAGGGAGGCTGAAAGATGGAATGTGGAAGGAGGTGCAGGAAGGAGGTTACCAGCGGCAAGGAGGAGGGCGATGAGGACGAAGGAGAGGGGGCAGAAGTGCATGCGATAGATGAGTAGCAGCGCCACCACCGCCACACTCGTCACCAACAGGTGCTTCAGTGATGACGGGCCGATGCGCAGCCTGCAAGAGGGGGAGAAGGGAGGGAGAAAAGGGGGAAGGGGGGGGTCAAGGAATGGGGGGCGAAGGGGGGTGGGGAGAGGGGGGGAAGACGGGGGGAAGAGGAGGGGAAGGGAGGGGAAGAGGGAGAGAGGGGAGAAAGAGGGGTTGAAGGAGGGGGAAGAGGGGAGAGACACGACCAGCATAGAAAAGAACACGAGCCCCAGCAGGATCACTTTCCAGAGGCCCCAAACCCACTTCTTCCCACCCCCCCACTCCATCCCCTCCCATCCTCCCCCCCCACTCCCCTCTCCCCCCCCCTCCGCCCACCTCCCCCATCCCTCCCCCTTCCCCCCACTCACTTGTCTTCCGCCAGTGTGTCGACATAGAAGGAGAACACGAGTCCAGCCAGGATCACCAGAGCATACATCTGCAGCGAGGTGTCTTCGGAATAGAGTCCTCTCCCTTTCCCTCTCCCTCTCAACCCCCCTCGTCTACTGCTCCCCCTCCTCCCACTTACTTGTCTTCCGCCAGTGTATCGACATAGAAGGAGAACACGAGCCCAGCCAGGATCACCAGCGCATACACCTGCAGCGGCCGCCCCCTGCCTCCAGGTCCAGAGCTTGTGCCCCCTGGCGGATGGTGTGAGCGAGAGGAGAAGGGAAGAAGTGGGGAAGCGCGAGAGGAGATGGGAGGTTTTGAGGCGCCTGGAAAGGGCTGCGCCCCCACCTCCAGGTCCAAGGCTTGCGCTCCCTGGCGGGTGGTGTGGGCAAGTGGGGGAGGAGTAGAAGAGAGAGAAGCGATGAGGGGGCTTTGGAGCACAACAGGGGGAAACGGAGGCAGAGCAGGGGATGGCGCACAGAGAAGAGATGGGAAGAAAAAGGAGGCCTAAAGAAAGCTCTCTTGGAAGGCTCATCGCTCAGGCTGCTTTTACTTTTCCACAGTGGCAGCCTGTTCACTCTGCCACGTGGCACTCACCCCGCTGAGCTGGAAGATGGCGATGGGCAGGAGGAAGAAGACAGAGGACACTGCCGTGACTGCATGCAGTCGCTTCTTC